CAATTGAAGGATTTTGCGATTTCGTTGATGTGGAGTACAGGAAACTGCTATCTCACAGCAAAACACGATGGCTAATCCTCATGCCAAGCGTTGATCGAATTTTACAAATTTTTCCATCTCTGAAATCATTTTTTTTATCCACTGACCATCCGCCAATTATTTTAGAGAGGTTTTTCAAAGATGATTTTCCGGAATTGCAATTGCTGTTTATATGTTCACTTGTCTTTCACAATAGAATCAAACGCGAAGACAATTCTGTTCTAGAAGTTTTGCAAATCATTGACGAAGTATCGGAGACTTTGACTGAAAGACTCAATTCGAAATTTATACCATTCGCACTCAAGCAGAAATTGCAAAAACTGACAAATGAATGTAAAGAAACTGAGTATCAAATCTTCACAGAATCCATGCCTGTAGTGTAGAGGTGGAGAACTATCGATAAGTCTGCGCCATCGATAGCGCTTGATAGTTTTCATAAACTATCCACTATCGGCGATAGCAAAGAAAAGCTATCGTCGATAGTTGTCTATAGTGCAAAGTACACTCAAAAAAAAAAAATAATTTAATTAGTGTTTCTAATAATATTTATTTATATATAAAGTATTTATTTATAAAGTATGACATTGGTTTTCCAATCTTTATCTGAAAAGAATAAATAATTATTATTCGAATAAAATGATTTTGTTTTTTTAGGCTTACCTTAACTGCTTTCTGTAAATTTATATATGTTTGGCGTTTTCCTTTAATTAAATGTATACTTTTATTATTATGTATTTATCTTTGTGAAAAAGAAACGCATGTATGTATATATGCGTATGTATTTCAGTAATGCAGTAAGCAGTATGGCATCTCACGTAGCACTTTTGTTATTGTCACACAAAATTTTGCTTTTAACTTTATAATACAAAATTACAATATAACAACAAAATAACAATATCTTACCTATTTGAAGAAAACGATCCATTATGTTTTTAAAAACAATTTATAAAACTCTGTAAAAAATTCGCGCAATTTCCTTTCATTTACACTTTTAACGTAGACATGGAAAAACCAAAATATCGACAACAATCAACGATAGCGATTGACCACTATCGAGAGTACGCGCAGCTATCGATGGCGTATCGATAGTGACAAACCATCGATAGTCCCGATAGTGCCATCGATAGTTCTCCACCTCTACTGTAGTGTATGAAAGATCTTGTGATTATTTGCTGAAATGGAGCCAGTCATTGCGTCATTTGGAAGGCTTCGAACGGTTAAATTTCAAGCCAGGAAAAGAGTTGAGGTATGAATCTGTTGAAAAATCTGTTGCATTTCTCGTATACAAAAATATTCAAATTGATGGTTCAAAACTGTTCGACCAGTTTGTTAATTTGAAAAAATTGTAAAGTCATTGGTCTATGCGGATAAGCCACAAAACGCTTGACCATTTGGAAGACAACATTCGCCGTGTTATTGCCGATATACGGCCGCAAATGTTGGGAAAAGTCATCGAAAATTGGACGTCCAGATTGGACTACATCCGAGCCAGCCGTGGCGGCTACACCTCTAAATAAAACACCCGATACAAGAATGTTGATTGTGACATCTATGAAATTCAATATATCTGATATACAAAAGAAACATTTAATAATAATACAAGGTCCGAACAAAAAGTATTTCCAAGAAGCAAACGAATTCGGGAACACGTTAGGATTATTAGATCACAATCGGCAATAAAAATAAGCTTTCAACTTTGAGCAACATGGCCAATAGATAATTAGGAGTATTGGATTCGCAATATGCTCAAGAATATACATAGTATCATCTTCTTAGCGACGGACGGAATTTACTAAGGCAATCTACATTTGACCAAACTATATATGTTATGAAGGCGAGTACAACTTAATCGAGATAAGAATAAAGAACATCGAAACCCAAGCTCAGAACCTTAACAACACGCATATGATAAGAAGTTTAGCGCAAGTCACGACCGAATTGTCGCTCTTAGCCGGTCATTTAAAACGGACACAGGCAATGATAGTCATAAGGGATTTAGAAATTCAGCAAATATCTGCGTACTCACTAGAGGTGGAGAACTATCGATGGCACTATCGGGACTATCGATGGTTTGCCACTATCGATACGCAATCGATAGCTGCGCGCACTCTCGATAGTGGTCAATCGCTATCGTTGATTGTTGTCGATATTTTGGTTTTTCCATGTCTACGTTAACCCTCTAAGCCCCAAGAGTGCCTTGAGGCACTCATTTCACATGCGTTTTTGTGGAAAGTGGCATTAGAGGGTTAAAAGTGTAAATGAAAGGAAATTGCGCGAATTTTTTACAGAGTTTTATAAATTGTTTTTAAAAACATAATGGATCGTTTTCTTCAAATAGGTAAGATATTGTTATTTTGTTGTTATATTGTAATTTTGTATTATAAAGTTAAAAGCAAAATAAAGATTGGAAAACCAATGTCATACTTTATAAATAAATACTTTATATATAAATAAATATTATTAGAAACACTAATTAAATTATTTTTTTGAGTGTACTCTGCACTATAGACAACTATCGACGATAGCTTTTCTTTGCTATCGCCGATAGGGGATAGTTTATGAAAACTATCAAGCGCTATCGATGGCGCAGACTATCGATAGTTCTCCACCTCTAGTACTCACGGTAAGACGTACTTTGGCTGGTTAGCTTTCGTTGCCATAGCATAAATGCTATTGTGAGTACAAATAGAAAACCCCCGTTTTCCCATAGGTGGCCCCAGCATTGCACGCCAGTAAAAAAGTATGCCCTGAAAAGTCACATAGCCAGCGGAGGCATTTGTAAACAATTCATCATCATCTCCTTTCTCTATTTATATTGTGCTTCGTTTTTTTCGTGCGCAAAAAAACCGAAATTGAAGGCGAACAAAGGACATTTGCAGGAAGTGTTGCTTTTTGCATTTCATTCTAAAAAAAATGCAGCTATGGCTCGTCGAAGGAACTTATGAAGGAACGTGTCGGGAATGTTTCCAAAAGTTTAGAAACGACGAGTATGACGTGGATGACAAGGAGTGTCCCGGACAAAAAGTTTGAGGATCGCCATCACGGGAGCCCTCTATAGAACGCGAAGGATTAAATTATTTTGTAGAATGAGATTGTATTTAAACTGTTTTATTTAGGTCACACTAGGGTCAAAATTAGAAATTTAAATTTAAGTACCTTCCTGTTGTCAGATTGATCTGAAATTTGGTACACACCTTCAGTTCCGATGACAATACAATATAGTAATGTCAATAACATTGTAAATCCAAGATGGCGGCCGCAAAATGGCGGATAACGTAGGTTCTATCAATCCCATCAATATGGGTATCAAATGAAAGGTCCCAACAAGAAGAATACAATGTACTATATAAAATTAAAACTCAAGATTGCGGCCTCTGCAAAATGGCGGATAACTTAGGTTTTATCAATCCCATCAACATGGGTATCATTGTCACTGTCAAACACATCAGATTAATTCAGATCAGTCTGACAACAAACGGGGTAAGCTATATCTTGTATATAAAAATGAATCGCAGAATGTGTTGGTAAGCGCATAACTCAACAGCGCCTGGACCGATTTTGATGAAATTTTTTGTGTGTATTCCAGGGGGTTTGAGGATGGTTTAGATTCACAATATGTTAAAATAATATTTATTGTTTTATAAAGCAAAACGAGCTAAAGAAAGTGAAGTTGATAGAAACAAAACTAGAGGTTTACCAGCAGAACTGGAAATATTTGTGGGGGCAAAAGTCATGCTACGGTCCAATTTTGACGTTTCGAAGGGATTAGTAAATTTCGCTATAGGCTACATCAACGAAATCGTTTGGCCTCAATTTCGTCAAACTCAGATGTATGCAACAGATGTACCATCCGTCCGAACTGATTTCGAAAAAGACGGAGTACATCTTATACACACGAAAGCCATACAGTTTCCAGCTAAGTACAATTACGGGACGACTGAGAGAAGAATGTTGCCTTTAATACTATCATGGGCTTCTACAATACATAAAATGCAGGGCAGCACTGTGGATCACGCAGTCGTATGTATACTTAGGTGTGAAACTGTTTGAAGAAGGTCAAGCTTACGTCGCTCTTAGTAGAGTAAGATCTTTGCAGGGACTACGTATAGAGAAGTTGGACTGCAACAAACTAACGGGCAAGAAACCATGCAATAATGAAGCACTAAATGAATTAAACAGAATGCGAATTAAAAAATAATAAAAACTTAATCAAATTTGTTAAAAAAAAAATTTTTAATTTAAAAGGTTTTATGTTAAACATACATTGCAATGTTTAAGATAAACGTACTAATTATTGGACCTCTGGGGGCGTCGACCGTTTAAATGACTATTACTCGTGGAAACAAAATGGTAAAAAAAAAAATATAAATAAAAATGCGAAATAAAAACTAAAAACTAGAAAATAAAAAAAGGTAAAAAAAATTTTTAAGTTAAACCGTTTTATGTAAAACATGTACTAAATGTACTAAAAGCTTAAAAATAATATAAAATAGATACAGACGAGGGAAATTTAAACATATGCTTAGACTAGACTAAAATAAAACCGTGGGGCAAGTCAATTGTGTACAATCGTTGATTAAAATGTTTGTTTGCCCCACGGTTTTACTTTAGTCTAGTCTAAGCATATGTTTAAATTTCCCACGTCTGTATCTATTTTATATTATTTTTAAGCTTTTTAGTACATTTAGTACATGTTTTACATAAAACGGTTTAACTTAAAATTTTTTTTACCTTTTTTTATTTTTTTACAATAAAACCTTAAATTATGAGAAAAAACGGCGGTTTTCTATTTGTACACTTAATACGTCAAAGTTAACGCTGGGTACTCTCAATTTCTTTGCCATAAAATTGTCTGTAATTTTGTCATCCCCATAGTTATTTTAATTATAGAATAGGACAAGAAAGGCAATTACTAAGCTTTAAAATATTTATAATACTTTATAATATTTAAAATATTTTAGGATAACGAACGATGCTAGAGAAGATGAAATGGAAGAAAACATGGGTCAGGTAAACACAATGATTGGCAACCTTCGTAACATGGCATTGGATATGGGCTCTGAGCTGGAAAATCAAAACCGTCAAATTGACAGAATTAATCGAAAGGTATGTATACAACTGTGAAACAAAAACGAATCCTGTATTTTTCGTCACATTTTAGTTTCCAAGATTTGATGACGTATTTTGGGTAATTGGCCCAAAATAAACACTTTTTAATAAATAAAATTTTTCGATTTCTCGCACCGTTTACGAGATATCGAGCCTTAAATTTCCGATAATAGTGAGGGCTGGTAGCGGGCGAAAATACTTATTGCACATATTTTTCGTGGAACTTTCAATATTTGCGGTACTTTTGGCCGAAGACAGACACTTAAATTTATTTTTTCAGTTTTTAGTGCGCGCGCACTTATGCATTGATACATATGCTATATTATTTTTTTAGGTAATTGTTATAAAAAAAAATAAGCTAAAAACTGAAAAATATATATGTCCTCAAATCTTGGAAACTAAAATCTTCCCTAGCGCGGAAATGGATGACGTGCATGTAAGAGTTTTCCGCTGATTTTCGAGGAAAATTCCACTTTCCAAGGTAAAAAACCTTCTGCCCCTCTTAAGGAGGTTATTATCTTATGAAAAAACTCTTGATTTGGTTCGCAGGTTTTTTTTGGGGCTCAAATATATCTGGAGTCAAAATTCCGAAGTATTACCAAATTTTCAACAACTAGCCTCGAACAACCAACAGGATATCTAGGGACGAGGAAAGGTCACTCCACTCTACCGTATTTGAAGATCAGAAATACCTCGGGAAAAATAGTTTAGATATTAATTAATACAGGATCCACTTTTTCTTTTATCCGGCCTGAATTGGTACAAAAACAATATATAAGAGCAATACGAGAGCCAATAAACTTTAAAACAATTACACAATCCCACAAAATTTTGAGAGAGGCATTTTTTCCAATGTTCAAAGAACTGAAGAGGAGTAGGGGAGATAAGAATGCTACTATTCAAATTTCCCCAGTTTTTGGAAGGACTTATTGGAATAGATGTTTTACAGCAACTAGGGGCCATTATTGATTTAGAAAAAGGGTGGTTCCACACTACAAGCGAGAAGTTAAAAATTCATTTTGAGATATACAGACCGACGGAGGTATACACAATAGAAGCAGGTACAAGGAGAGTTATTTCCGTTCCGGTACAAATACAGGATGGGGATTTCTTGTTGAATAAGGCATCAATAAAAAAAGACATGCTTATCTCAGAAGGTATTTACACAGCGGTAGCCGGACAGAGCCTAGTGGAAGTGACAAATTATACAGAAGTAGACCAAGAATTATTTTTAGAAGAATCACTGAATGTTATCGAATTCAAGTCCGAACAACACTTCGAACTGAACATCATAGAGGAGGTAGGAAACGGAAATAAGGATATACCGTTTCACAAGATCAGGACGGAACATTTAAATTTCGAGGAATTGGCAGAATTAAAAATGATTTGTAAAAAATACCCCAAGGTATTTCATAGAGAAGGGGATAACTTATCTTTCACGAATGCGGTAAAACACCAAATAAGAACGAAGGACGACATCCCGATATACGTCAAGCCATATAGATATGCGATTAAAGAATAATAAGAGATGAGAAAACAGTTGGAGAAACTACTGGATCAGAAAATTATTAGACACAGCCATTCACCATGGAGTGCTCCGGTTTGGCTAGTGCCAAAGAAGAAGGATGCATCGGGAGAGAGGAAATGGAGGATCATAGTAGACTACAGAAAGCTTAACGAGAAAGTAATCAAGGACAGGTATCCACTACCAATAATTAATGATGTGCTAGACAGTTTGGGAAGAGCAAAATACTTCTCAACTCTGAACTTGGCAAGTGGATACCATCAAATTGAAGTAAAGGAGGCAGATATTCCGAAGACAGCCTTCTCGGCAGAAGGCGGTCATTTCGAATACGTAAGGATGCCATTCGGACTGAACAATGATCCGGCGACCTTCCAGAGATTAATGAACAACATTTTCGGAGAATTGCTGGGGAATTGTTGCCTAATATACATTGACGATATTGTGGTATATTCAACATCCCTACAAGAACATATCACGGACCTGGAAAAAGTCTTTAAGAAACTCACAGAAGCCAACTTCAAGCTACAACTGGACAAAACGGAATTTTTAAGGAAAGGGGTGGAATATTTAGGATATGTATTGTAGTAACCCAGCAGGGCATCAAACCAAAACCGGGGAAAATCGAGGCGATAAAGAAATTTGAAATTCCCAAGACCAGAAAACAGATCAAGTCCTTCGTAGGATTATTGGGGTATGTACTACAGGAAATTTATAAGAGATTTCGCAGCCATAACAAAACCAATGACACGGCAGTAGAAAGGGAAAAAGGCCGTACAAGTAGACGAAGAATACATAGAAACATTTGAGGTGTGCAAAACTTTATTATGTAACGACCCAATATTACAATTCCCCGACTTCGAGAAACCAGTCATCCTTACTACAGATGCCAGCAATTATGCAATTGGAGCTGTTTTATCCCAAGGGAATTTGGGGATGGATAGACCAATTGCCTATGGTAGTAGAACATTATCAGGAGCAGAAGTAAACTACGCGACAATAGAAAAGGAAATGTTGGCCATTATTTGGGCGATTAAACATTTTAGGCACTACCTGTTTGGCACCAAGTTCAAAATAGTGGCAGATCATAGGCCATTTACCTGGCTTATGAGCATCAAGGAGCCTGATTCTAAGCTAGTAAGATGGAGACTCCAAATGTTAGAATACGACTATGAGTTAGTGTATAAAAAAGGTTCCCTGAATGTAGTGGCAGACGCGTTGAGCATAATCCAGCCGGAGATTAATGTACAAGAAAATGCCTCAGAAGTAGCTACGAGCGGTGAAACGATTCACTCCGCAGGGGAACCTACAGCTTGGGTTTCCTATATCGGAGAAGCCATTGAATGAATTTAATATACAGATAGTTATTGAAGAAGGTGAAAAATCAAAGATAAAGAAACAAATTCCATTTAGAAATAAGCTAAGAATAACCTGGACAGAAAATATATTTAATGAGGAAACTATTGGCCGTAGATTAAAGGAATTTTTAAAACCAAAAAGGACAGTAGCATTATTAATACCAGATAACTTAGTGATAACAATCCAGGATGTATATTGCAAGTATTTTGCGTATAGTAAGCTATATAAAGCGATAAGATGTACAATATTATTTCCAGACATTGTAGAGAAAATCCAACAAAAACAAATTATTAAGTATTATCATGAAAGGAGTAATCATAGGGGAATAGATGAAACTTTAGCCCACCTAAAAAGAAGGGTGTTTTCCCCGCATATGAGACAGACTATAGCACAAACAATTAATAACTTCGATAGCTGTCAAATACAGAAATATGATAGAACCCCACACAAGATTAAATACAGCTTGACAGAAACTCCACAGAGACCCATGGAAGTAGTACATATAGATTTGTATCTTTGTAACAAAAAAAATGTATTAACCATAATAGATAAGTTCTCAAGATGCGCGTGGGGAAAAACGATCCCAGCAAAAGATAGTATAAACATAGTAAAGGCGATAAAAAAACTTCATGGCTTTGTTCGGGATACCCAAAAAGATACAATAGTATGTGATCAGGGAGTGGAATTCTCTTCAAACCTGTTTAAGAATTTTGGTAAGCAGTACGAATTACAATAGAACTGCATACAACCTCCTTCCAGCAGTCGTCGAGTAATTCCACAATCGAAAGATTACACTCTACCTTGACGGAAATATACAGATTAATAAACGAGGCAAAGAAAACAAATAGAATGGGAATAAAACATGAGGAGATACTAGACGCAGCATTTATAACATACAACAATGCTATTCATTCGGCTACAAAGTTGACACCACAGGAACTATTCACGGCTAGAACGCATAATTTTCTGAATAACATATAGTTTAACAACGAACATGATTATTTACAGAAAATTAATGCGTTCCGGGCTGGATTATACCCGAAAATCAAGGAAATGGTGGAACAGCAAAAAAAGAATAGAATCAGCAAATGCAAACAGGGAGAATCCGAACCTAGTAGAACCAGGAGATACAATATTTAGGAAGGAAAACAGGCGGGACAAACTTACTCCTAAATTTTCAAAACACAAGGTGCTGGAAGACAACGGGTTAACACTAACATCTACCAAACCCCAGAAAATTCATAAAGAAAAAATAGAAGACTAACCAAACCAAACAAACAATAATAATTACAGGTGGTCAATGACCATGGCCGAAGGAAGGAGTCTCGAGATTCGGGAGTTACAAGGAAACGAGCCTTTAGCACAAATAAATTTAGGTCCTGCAAAAATAATACAGACGTATAAGAACTTAATACATATGTAAGGTTAAAAGAATATCAGGAAGCAATAGAGAACAGAGAAAGGACACTCAGAGACGTAGCTGACGATGCAGAAACGAAAGAACTTGTGAGAGCATTACAAAACAAATTACAGATGATTAAAACAAGACTAGAGACAATATGCGCTAAGAAAAGGAAGCAGAGGGGACTAATTAATGGGTTAGGATCAGTTGTTAAGTCCATAACAGGAAATCTGGATGCAGAAGATGCAGAAAAATTGGAAAAAGAAATAAGGAAAATACAGAACGATTGCGAGAGGCCGTAACCTCACAGGAAAAGACAGGTAACAAGTTCGGCATAATGTTCAAAATTTTGACAAAATATATTAATGAAGAACAAAGCAGGGTAATGGAATAAGCAAGACTTTTTTTTTTTTTTTTTTGCGTGTTAAAAAAGTAGAAATTTATTAAATTATTGATTAGCGCACTACTACCCAAATGGCAGCTTAATCTAATCCAACTACATTTTAAGTTTGAACAATTGGTCTAATAATACTTAGAACTAAGATAACATAAAGACAATTTAGGAAATACGGTAGTTTAAAACATATAAAGCAGACATAGAGTATAACATTGAATTATTAAATTATTAGGTCAAAACCCGGTCAGGCAGGTCTTGAGGGTGGTGTCGCTTCAGTCTTCTTCTAGTTCTGGTTCGTGGGTCAGCATTGTTAATGG